TCAAACTTTGAAAAATCGTAGCTATAGATTTACTTTGTATTTCACACTGAAGATTTATCAACCCCAGATTCAGAACACACACACACAAACACAGACACATACATATACACTTATACACACACACACACACACAAAATACATACATACATACACATACACACACACTCACACATAAACACACCTAAACACATACACACACGTATACACATATACATGCACAGACACACACACTACACTAAAACACCCACAGATACACACAAACACATACACATGTGCCCACACAGGCACACACACTTATTTTAACAGCAGCTCTTGTGAAGCTGGTGTCTGTTGATTTGTCTCATACCTTATTACTAAATCAGCCCCTGCCATTCAGGAAGTACAGATTTGAGGCGTGAATAACTAACAAATGCAAAGACATCTCCGGCTGCAAAGACGTGTGTGTGTGTGTGTGTGTGTGTGTGTGTGTGTGTGTGTGTGTATCCCTACTTGTAACAACAAAATAATTTGATTATATAAGCATAAATATATGGGAGCAATCTGAGACTGCATGGGTAGTAATAATAAAGAGTTAGCTGTTTTGATACAAGGAATCAAAATTTCCTTGTATGTGCCTCATGAATCACAGAAGTTGAAGATGTCTTTGCATTTCTTAGTTATATTTACAGCAAGCATGTGTTTCCTGCATGGAACGGGCTCGGATAACAACTTTGGAAGAAATGTAGTGGAAATGATTTCTATGTTGTTTCCACCTAGACATTATTACTCAACTATTTACATGGGCATATGCAACCTAATGTATAAGCTTCATCCACTACAATGCTGAGCATTATATTGAAGTCAAGAACATTATTCAACCAAATAAGTTTTGATTTTGTTTTCCTATAACAAATAACGCAGGTTTTATGGCAAATCTTTGACTGAATTACATATTCTTCCTGTTTCTATGTATGTTCATTCATCAGAACTTTTATTATTTTTTAATAAACTAGACATGGGAAACTCTATCTTATATTCACACTAGAGTATCTATGATTTGAAAATTAATTGACATCTGTATTGTTTCAATTACATAGGTACTCAAAGTTTAGTGAAGCAGATAGATGCAAATACCCACAAATAGGAATAGTGAAAATTTACAATAATGTGAGACTCTTTGGCAAGAGTGGACATGTATATGTACCTTCAGATTTAAACACTTTCATTATTATCAAAATGGGAAGGAGAGAAGAGGGATTCACTGGGTAAAGAAATGATGATGAGAAGAAATAAACTAAGCAGATAGAAATTTTTATTATTTATACCTGTGAAATCTCTTCAATCAAGTATTTTCTATGTTCCCTAAAATTGATATTTATAAAACTTTAGATTTTAAGCAGAAAGTATGCTGTCTTTTGATAAGAGATGTATAAATAAGGAACTGAGCTGAAATCTTTCAGACTATTTTAAAACAAATATTTTCTTTTGTTTTTGCTTCAGGTGCCTTGGTGGTAATTTGAAAGTATATTCAGACATTACATACACTTTAAATATAATATTTTTTTTATTTTTATTCCCTAAGGTAAAAAAGTTATTTGCATATTTCCCTTTCCAGTTAATGACTGAAGTGCCTCTGAATAGGCATTTCATGTAAATTGAATTTTCTGAAGAATGCATGATGCTTGCTAAGTAAAAACAAAAAGTGTAAATGAAAAAAAAAAATCACTGACCTTATTCGTTTTGTGACTGACAGTAGTAACTTTTCCAGGTAGTGCTACATCTTTGATGATGTAGTTTAAAGGCATTCTTTGTTAGTTATGAATAAAATGCATCAGGCATAAAATTTTTTCTCTAGTGTGGGAAGAAATGAGCATTATGTTTTGCTTACAAAGTTTATTAGTTTTAATACTGTAGGAGAAACTCTCTCAGTCTGAACTCCATGATTTGCCAAATTAAATGTAAAAATTAATGTAACGGTAATTAAATATATAGTTTCTAAATGATCTTACAGAGAATTAGGTTCGCAATTATAAGAAGAGTTTTAATATTGACTAAAAATATTGTCAATACTTAAAAATAAGAATATTTTTCAACATATTGTAATATATAAATGTAAAACTTCAGTAGTCCAAATTAATAGAAAACTAAACTAGCTTTCATAATACCCTTATATTTTATGGTTGATATATGCATAGGTCATTCCTTGCTTCGAAAAAATACAGAAATACTACATTTGAAATCTACAATTAAAACTGATATCTGTTGAGTGTTCCCTGAACCACTGGATTTCTCTGTGATAAATCAATCATCTGAAATGTTAGATTTTGACACCAGCACCCTAATAGTTGATGTTTTTGTTTGTTTGTTTTTCTTTCTTACTTTCTATTTTTACTATAGGGTCAAGAGAAATGCAATCTAGAAAGTTGATAAAGTATTTGATAAAACACATTATAATGTATTATTAGAGGAAGTTACACATCTGATGGATGCCTAGGCAGAAACTAGTGAGTAAATCTGTTTAAAAATGAATACATGAAATAAATAAAATGTATCCTGAGAAACATAAAAACATGTAGGAAATCAAATCAAACACAGTCATATATATCCATAAATTTAGGAATATATTAGTGGATCAGTGAATTATTTAATTTTCATTACCTGAAATTTGAAAAATGAACACTTCCTGTGTATCATTCCTTCTAACAATATGAATTTAAATAAATACTCAAATTGTATTGTATGAATACTCGTATATCTCAATAAAATTGTAAAACATGTCTTGTTTAGAGTTTTATTGCTGTGAACAGAGACCGTGAGCACAGCAACTCTTATATAGGAAAATATTTAATTTGGACTTGCTTACAATGCCAAAGTTTAGTTCATTATTCTCATGGCAGGAAGCATGGTAGCAGGAAGGTAGACATAGTGCTGGAGAGGTAGTTCAACTTGTTATCTCCCTCTGGACTGGCAGCAGGATGTGAACTGGCTTGAGTTTCTGAAACCTCAAAGCACAGCACCTACTGATGCCCCTCTCCCAACAAAGACATGGCCCCTAAAAGCGTCACTTTATTTGGACATAAACAGGCCTTTTACCATCACACTTCAACAAGTTAAAAGAATGTTGCTTTTCAACTAAATAAAGTAATGCAAATATAAATACCATCCTACAGATATTTCTAAATAATGAATGAAATAATGGATTTCCCAAAATTTTCCTTAAAGTGATCTCAACATGAAGGAAGGGTTATGGGCAGGAAATTCTAGACTTAGCTGAGATTCTCTTGGCATTTGAATTACCCTGGGAGACAGAAACTCAGATATCTTTAATAGTATGATGAGTATTACCACACTCTAGGATAGGTCCAATGTTAGGAGTACTTTAGAAAAAAATATATATATATATATATATATATATATATATATATATAAAATCACATGCAGATAGGCAGATATACGACAGAGAAAAAAAACACATGAACTTGGCTAGATAGGGAGGAAAGAGGTATCTCAGAGGAGTTGCTATGGGGTTGAATATGATCAAATACACTGCATGAAATTCTCCAAAATTTAATAGAAATATTAATTTTAGAAAGTGTCCTTAAAATATAGAACCATGTAAAACAGTCAAAACTCAATTTAAAATATTAGACAATTCTTTTAAATCTTCTTAAGGAATTAGATTCATATTTGCATACCTCAAAATTAAAATTCTTGTTTTGAAATACAAACAATCATAAAAGAACTGACTAACTCATGTGGAATAGATGACATAGTTTTACTTATTTTTATTGCCACCTCTGATTATTACTTTTTGTCACATTTCACTCATGAGAACTGTACAAACATTTGGAGACATCTTTCTGATTATAATATACTTTTTTTGTGGAAAGAGTACAAGTCAGTAAGATTAACTTCTCTTAATTTTTCTCAAGCACAGCTCAATAGGTTCACTCTTGCAGTAGAAAATATGGAAAGCTATTTCTTTCTACTCTGTACCTCCTGTTTGACCCAGTTGAAATGCTTCCTGCAGGAGATAGAGTGCTGAAATATTACTAACAAACAATAGGAAGAAAATAGAAATGTTAAAAAGGTCAAAGCAAAGCCCATCAGTAATGGTTTTACTGCTCAGTTAAAAATTGTCTGGGGACACACTTGGTAGGATCAGCCTCAGCATAAATTATAGAATTAACAAGGGATGGGGTTATTCAGGGAATTGCGTGAAATGATAATGAAATACTTGAGAAGTTTTAATGATTAAATATTCCCCAAGGAAAACTTCTGCTGAGCAGTCATTAAAAGTATTCCCTAACATATCTGAAGAATTTTTTTTAATATTTCCTCAAAGCCTCAAAGATATTCAAATGTGAATAATACTCTTTCTAAAAAGGTAAGTAATGACACCTGTAAGGGGAATTGTAGGAACAGTTATTCCTGAAGACTCTTGGTGGTATATCAAGACTCTTTCAAAGAACAGCCAATCTTTTTCCCTTTTTCTGTATAAAGCATACATATTCAAGTGATGGTTAAATTCAAGCTTGTATGGAACGCTGTTTGCTCTGGACCTTTTGTGGACAATATTAATTTATTTTTGTAACAATTTTGTTTTTATAATTCGAAACGGGGAACTGAGGCTCTATTATACAGTGTACATACGTGTTTTAGTTTCCAAGTTGGGAGTGAGAGTAGATAGACTTAACTTCACAGTACGGATGTCTAATTATCCTCAGTGGTCCCCAAAAGGCCAAGGCATTTTTCCACTTTATAGAAGAGATAAAATGTTAAAAACCCACAAGATTATGTCTGAATTTGGCACTCTGGATAATGACTAATAAAATTGCTTACACTTTAAATTATTTTCTGTCACACTGTTACCACTTAACCTGAGAAGAACACAGGCATTTACATTCCAAGGGCAGTCTGAGATTTGAATTAAACATAAGTGTACACAAGAAAGGCATCCTGTGATGTTTTCCAGGAAGTCAGCTTCTAAGCACTTATTAACTAATATATTTTCTTGGCAGATAAATGGCAAACAGAAATGCACTCTACTGTGGAGAGAAGAAATGGAGTCGAGAGCCAAGACATCAACATTCTTGACTTGATTACAGCAACAACTTGCATGACCTTGAATGTTTCTGAGCTGTGTTTTTAAATCTTTCTCAATAGGTTTTACTGGCTCTCCCTTTTTGTTTACAGTCTCCAAATTATTTTAAAAGGATATCATTGTTGAGTTTTCTGTGCAAAGATCACACATCCAAACTAACCACATTTAATTAAAATATTTCTTCAACACAGAAAATATTTTCATCCTATTTATTTCCCTTATCAGCTAAGGAATAGTGATGGATACAGAAAGAGGGGCTTTACGGCTTCATGATGCAGAGAATATGAATCATTCTATGTTATCATTGTAGGTTCACTAAGCTTTCCTTTTGCAAGGTTTCTCAGTACTCCACCACTTAGCAGGTCGCATCACAAATACATGATGATGGCAGCTTTTGTAAGTATTCAAGTAACTCTGACATGACTACTAGGGATATACAGTATTGGAACATTGGCTGCTATTTAAAAGACTTGGAACTTCGTGTCATCCATAACAATCTACAGGGGGCTGGAAAGATGGCTCAGAGGTTAAGAGCATTTCCTGGTCTTCCAAAGGTCCTGACTTCAATTCCCAGCAACCGCATGGTGGCTCACAACCATCTGTAATGAGGTCTGGTGCCCTCTTCTGGCCTGCAGGGATACACGCTGACAGAATATTGTGTATATATAATAAATAAATATTAAAAAAATAACAATCTACAGTCCTAGAAAAAGAGAAGCTTGGAAGTGGCCTGATATGGTGTCTCTTTACTCCCTAACCGTATATGTTGTAAATTTACTGCAATTTGGTCTTTGATACCATAGCTGCAGTGGTCACATTAAACAAATCCTATCTGATTGCAAAGAAATCTGTTAACAGCTCCCAGGAAACAACTTTGATGAAAAATAGACAGTTTTTTCCATGTCAGACAAAGATTAGAAGTGATTTGCATGCTCAGATAAAAACCAAGAAACAACTAATTACAAATCTACCTCTAAACAATATCCACTACTTGAATTAGCCATGATAGTGACTTGAATGCCTGGTACTGTAGACCACCTCCCAGGCATAAGTTGTGTATAGCATTCTCTTTACCAATCATGTCGTTTGGCTGCTTCTTGTCACTGATCAGGATTCTGCTTTGAGAATGCCCTTTCCTTTTAAGCACAGCCTAATCACACTTCTCTTTCACTATTTCATCAGAACATTTTATTTATTTTGCTAGTGTTTAAGTTACTTTTCTATTGTTGTGATAAACATCATTATTACCAAATCAATTCCCATATTACTTCAAAATATAGCATTATTAGGTTATTCATAACAATCTCTCAGTCTCAGACACAAACCTCTTTTCTTTTAAGAGCCAGTATGGGCAAGGAAGAGTAAGAGCAAGCAGCAGACATGGCAGCAGCAGCATGAAGCCTACCGTTCACAACTTCAAAGAAAAAACAGGATGCAGAGAGGGGAAGCTAGAAGTAGGCTTTTAATCTCAAAACTTCCTTCTAATGGCATACTGCATTCAGTCAGAACACATACTGTAAACCTCTCCAAATACCTCCAAATTTAAACTACCAGAAACTTGGGTGTTTATTGTTACTATTAATTTCCTCCATTCTACTATATAACATGATTTGTGAAAACAAATGACTTAGACATAACTAAAAATTCCTAATAGAAAATATTTTACATCCCAGATAAAATAATAGAGGAAATAAATAATATTGGAAGATTAATGACTAACAGATATATAATGTAAAACATGCAGGATTATCTGTGACACTAATAAATTCTGACATTTCATTCATACACACACACTTATATTCACTGAATATGTCTGAAATTATTGCATCAAAATAAAGACAAAGAGAAAACTAACAAACCAGCAATGATAAAGTCTCAAGAACAAAATCTGAAGTAGGCAGTGGGGAATTATAAACAGAATTGAAATAAGAAAACATATACGCAAAATAAGACAGAACAGAATAAAAACTTTAAGACAGAAAAGAATAAAATGAAACGTGAGCTTTAAGTTAATGATTGTTTGCTGGCTAATATGAAATAGATTGATTTTCTAAGTCTAACTTTTAGTGGAAAATCATCTATTTGCAAGACACTATAGCATTTAAGTTTAAAGAAATCTTTACACAATAATTACTGAAAGAAGTTTTCCATTGGGTCAACCCATATTTAAAAGTTTTATTTTAAAAAAGACTAAAAAAATTACATTTACTCAATTTTAAATTAAACATGTACTAAATAGTATAAAAGGAAACATTTTCATGAAAGTAGCTGTGTTTTGCTATAAATATTTTATATTTGTTTTTGGTTTTGTTTTTGTCGTGACAAGGTTTCATTATGTGTACTTCAAGCTGGCCTGAAACTTACTATGTATATCAGCTTGTCCTTGAACTCAGAGAGACTTAGCTATTTTTTCACACCAAGTCCTGTGATTAAAGGCATGCAACACTATAATTGCACTTAAATTTAAGTAATTTTGAGTAATCCATTGTTTATAAAATATTATATAGTCAGAACCAAATTTAAAGGACAAGGAAAATACTATAATTTATTTGTTTTTAGTGTTTTTATTGGATGATTATATAGCTAATGGATTCATAAAATTGGAGATTTCATATCAACAATTAAAACATTAGTTTTTTTATATTTGTTGAAATATATAATAAAGATTTTATGAGTTTTCATTTCTTATGCAATATTTACTAACTTTCCCCACTGTTATAATCAATTTTATATTTTTTTTCCATTTAGTGTATATATGTTGTCTAAAACATTTCCAATTTTATGAATTATAATGTAATAATGTGACATTTATATCAATAGAAAATGAATTTTTCATAAACTTGAAATACTCCATTTTTACAAGTTATAAACTATTTCATTTTTACTTGCAGGGGGGATTTACTAGGATTTAGCCACCAATCTACTGTAAGGTGTTCATCCAAAGAGGATGGGATCCCCAAAACCAGTACATGCAGTAGGGATAAATCCTGGTGCCACCATCAGTGGCCCCTCAGTCTGCCCCAGCCAGGCAGCTATCAACCACATTCAGAGGGACTAGTTTGGTCCTATACTTGTTCCTTCCCAGTCTGGCTGGAGTTAGTGAGCTCAAATAAATTGTTTCAGTGGGTGAACCCATCATGGTCTTGATCTCTTTGATCTTCAGCTGGACTTTGGGAGCTCAGCCTGGTGCTATAAAGGAAGAATTACAGTTATTACAATATTTATGGCTACTTTATCATAACTAAGGAAAACTATAACTATCAATTTCTCAACTCCATCAAAGACTCCAGAAGGATATACAGAGACATCTCACTGCCTGGATAGTCTCCCAAAGTTCTTCTGTTCTGTTGGGCCATCCATCTTCAGCCTCCAGGCCCAAAGTATCTGACAAACCTTTTCATGAAGCAGGAAATTTCAAGACAATCCCACCTATGTTGGTAGATTGTCAGTCACTTTCTTTCGTATCCTGCAAAATTATACATTACATCTTCAAATGGGCTGGACAAACACAATATCTTTATCAAGAGAAGAAATATACATATACACAATATAACAAAATTGACCTTAAATTTGTATCAATAAACTAAGATCCATCCAAATGCAAATTTCAATAGCATGTCTCCCTTTAAATGTAAAGAAACATTTATAAACAATATTTGGGAATATGGGCATAGTTCTTCTCCATACTGCTTCCTGCTATTTATTGGGTGAAGTAATTTTTTGGTTACTTAATTTCACAAAGACCTTTCATGTTCTCATTTTCTTTGGAAACAAAACAATAACATTTTTTCCAAAGCAATCTATTTTTAGACCCATATTATTAAATCAAGATACCTTTAAAATATATATGCTGGTTTGACTTAGCAGCCAATACAATGAAATGTCTCCTTGTACTTAGCAGCCAAAAATTCAAAGAAAACACACACACACACACACACACACACACACACACACACACATATATATATATATATATACATACATGTGTGTATGTATGTGTATATATATATTCTCTTTGCATATTCCATTTTTACATGGCTTCTTTTTCTTTACTCCCTTTAATCTCTGACAGTTTGTATTCTGTCTCTTTAAAGACTTTAATTTTTTTAATACAATTTGTTTCTTTTTATAACTGTCTATACTCTTTTTCTTCTCTCTTCCAGGCCTACATACATTTTTAAACCACACTGTGTCTCATTTAGATGTCTTTTCATCTGAATTTGGTTTATTGTTTATTTGTAACTCTTTACTTTCCAGGAAAACTTCTTAAAATGCTAAGCGTTTCTTAAAAACTTTAAGTGCATCATTGGTACAGGAACTACGACACTCCTTGCTTGCCCACCCTGTCTGACATGGTGGAGTTGCTTGCCGCCTCCGAGAGTCATACACAGTGCCCCATCTCTAGGCACACAGCCTGTCCATGTTGCCATCAAGGAATACATGGCACATTACTCACAAACCCCATTCACATGCTCATTCTCCTGAAAGAGCCAGAATTCATGCTGGTAGCATGGTCAAGAAAGCCGGCATTTGAAAGCTCTGGTGTTTTTGTTTTTTTTTTTCTCAGTTACCACTGAACCAGGATTAATTCTAAGTGAGCTGCAGAATGCTGACATCAGGCAAAGCAAATTTGGGGAAATACAATGTGACTAAACTTTGTTCTTTGCTGTCAAGAATTTCTTTTCTAGCCCTCTCAGTTTTATGTGCATTTAGTCCACCATTTTGTCACTAATTTGTACAAGGAGCTTTTTGTAGGAGAAGGTTGCTTGTTGGTCCCAGCTGCCCAGAATCAAAATAATCACACAGAAACAATGCTATTTAAATAACTGCTTTGCCCATTAGCTCTAGCTTCTTATTGGCTGACTCTTACATATTATTTTAATCCATTTCTATTAATCTGTGTGTCCTCACGTGACTGTGACTTACAGGTTAAAGATCTGTCTTGCTCTGACAGGGCTATATGGTTTCTCTCTGACTCAACCTCCTTCTCCCAGCATTCAGCTTAGCTTTCCCGACTAGTTCTGTT